AACAACAACAACTATGCATAGTAACTAAAAGTCAGAACTGACTTGACACAACAATAATGCAAGTGTTTTCTGAGATAGCTTTAAAAATAAGTTGATAATATTTGTCCAATGATTAAAATAATATAAAAGAAAATAGAAAGAGAATTGTAGAAAGGACAAAAATAGAAGTCAAACTTATATAAGTAAATATGCTGATTTAATGTTCTTATTAAGTGCTGTGCAGTCAGTTCTGAGGAATGACTGGTGGATCTGAACCACATCCTTTGATTAGCAGTCCAGTGTTTATCTAACGTGTCACATGAGTATTCCAGATTTACTGTTGGAACCATAGAAATGTTTGCATGGCTATAAAATAAAATTAAATCTAAAGGCAATAATGAAAAATTCTAAAAATGAAATAAGTGGAAGTACATCAATATCTAGTTGTTGGCACAATCAAACTGAGAAGACCTATTTCAATATTTTTTTAAGACACAGTAATTTGATTATATAGAGTCCTGGTGTAGTTCTTTAGGATAGCCACTGGACTGCAAGGTATGTTTGAACTGCAAGGTCCGTGGTTCAAACTTGCCACCTGTTCCTTGGAAACCCTATACAGGGTCGCTATGAGTTGGAACCAACTAGACAGCACTTAACAACAACAACAATTTGTACATTTTTGGTGGTGCATTATATAATAATAAACCAATTTTATCATCATACTTTTAGTAATAATAATGGTATTATCATTCTAAAACTGATATGTTTGTAATATTGAATAGAGGTAGTGTGTTTTTTAGATATTTTTTTCTCTTTTCTCACTGAGAACTGAGATTTTTCAGCATGGGAGAAGATCGATACTAATGTAAATTCAGTGTAGATAAATAAAACCTTGGTAGTTGTCAATTTGACTTGGAAGTAGAAGTGCAGACATATATTTTACTTTCTAAAAATACATGTGTTTCACTACTCTATCTGTGAAAAGATAGAAAACAGAACCAGGGTCACCAGGGTATTAAATTCTTATTATTTTTAACAAGTTACCAAAAGTTTAGTGGTTTAAAGCAGCAACTATTTATTTACTTATAGTTCTAAAGATCTGAGCGGTCCTGGTGTGGTGCGGTAGGATAAGCACTCAAGCACAAGATCAGTTTGAACCTCAAGATCATTGATTAAAATGCATCAGCCACTCCTCAGGAATCCTATAGAGTTGCTATGGAATGACACTTAGCAACAACAACAACAATTTATACCCGGGTTAAAAAGTAATTAAACACAATCAGCAACCAGCAGTAAAATAGTAGAAAACATAGTAAATGAAAGTGTTCACTCATAAAGTGTAGAAAAATACTATAAATAGTTTAACAATTAACAGAGAATACATAAGACTTAAGGATAAAATGCTAAAACTATATAAAAGGACATAAAAAATGAATCTGAATATATATGGAAGATAGTCCATATCCTTGGTTGTATTGACTTACTAAATTTAAAGCTATACATATTCCCTAAATTTCTTGAAGAATATAATGAACTTACTCTACAATTCAAAAACAAATAGATAACCTCTCTCTTGGGTCCTCGCTTCCAAGATGACAAAGAAAAGGAGGAATAATGGTCGTGCCAAAAAGGGCCGCGGCCATGTGCAGCCTATTCGTTGCACGAACTGCGACCGCTGCGTGCCCAAAGACAAGGCCATTAAGAAGTTCGTAATTCGAAACATTGTAGAGGCAGCTGCCGTCAGGGATATTTCCGAAGCGAGTGTCTTCGATGCATATGTGCTTCCCAAGCTGTATGTGAAACTGCATTACTGTGTGAGCTGCGCCATTCACAGCAAGGTGGTCAGGAACCGCTCTCGTGAAGCTCGGAAACACCGAACACCCCCACCCCGATTTAGACCTGCAGGTGCTGCCCCACGACCGCCACCACAGCCCATGTAAAGAATTGAGCCCTTAAAAGGTTGCCGTAAAACTAGCTTTCCAAGAAAATAAAAATTAAGCTTTGTGGCGTGTTAAAAAACAAACAAAAAAAAACAAATAGATAAGAGAAATCTGAAATAAAGAACAGAAAAGGACAACATATTCTACCTGATACTGACAACCGTACACTTTCAAGAATAAACAAAACAGTTAAGATAAGCCCTGGACTGCAGGATTGGTTTGAACTGCAAGATTGGCATTCAAACTCAGCACCAGCTCCTCAGAAACCCTATACAGGCTCGCTATGACTTGGAGCAAACTCGTCAGCACTTAACAACAGGACAACATCAAATGCCCTTAAATATCTGTACCTGGGGAGTACTGGTGTGGCGCTGTGGGTTAATGTGCTGGGCTGCAAAGTCATTTGAGCCTCAAGGTCAGCAGTTCAAGCTCACCAGTTGATCCTTGAAAACCCTGTACAGGGTCACTATGGGTCAGAACCGACTTGATGGCACTTAGCAACAACAATCTCTACCTGTATTCCTACAAAGAAAGAAGAGAGCAAGAGAATGAAGCAGAAAAATAATGTTAAAAGAAAATTTCATTTATTCATAAAGATTTCCTCTGTCTTAAATGAAACCTCGGAAATACAAATCATAGGGGAAATTTTCTTCACTGAGGGCATCAAACACAGAAGCATTCAGAGTAAATGTACTCCAAAAAGTGGGTACATCCAGAGATTACTGAATAATCCCTCACACCTGTGCAAGATGGGCAGGCTAAGGCAGTGGAAGTAGAGTGCTTAGTAGATGATGTAGAAAACACTGGCTCACTTTGATTCCATCCCCTCTATTACTCTTGTATACACAAATTCCAAGCAAATTTTATACTAACCTCCTACAAAACTCTTTACATAAATTCCTTTACACATATCCCACCACGATCAGCCACCACTTTCAGAAAGAAAATAACATTTTAAGAACTTTCATCCAACTCATGATAAAAGCTGAAGAATTCAAGGATCCAGAAAAAATTGGGAAACATTTAAGACAAGGCCTGACCTTATTTCTGAAGCATTCTGTGGGATACATACCTAAACCAAAAAGGGGCTCTGATATATTACCATCTAATGAAACTCCAGAATATTACCAAGTATATCCAAAAAACGAAGGTATCTACATCTGGGCCATTTTTCTTCTTTTCTGGAGCACTACATCAGTCTCACAGTAAAATGGCTCTTAGAGGGTCTCTAACAATGTTGGGGCTTCTCACCAGATAACAGCAAACATAGTACCAGATTGGCAAATCCAGGGATTATCTGAATGTAAAGGTGGGTACCAGCAGAGTCTCATAACCCACTTTCTCTCTTTTAGCTGCATTTCTCTGACCTACGTTTTTTGGTGCTGTGGGATAAACACTGGGCCGCAAGGTCAGTTTGAACTTCAAGGCCAGCAGTTCAAACTCGCCAGCTGCTACTCAAAAACCCTATACAGGGTTGCTATGAGTCGAAACCGATGCGATAGCACTTAATAACAACACCAGTATTCTAAGACTGTTTTCCAAAAGCCCAGTTCTTCTTACTGTGCTAACCCTTTCAGGTTTTCTCTGATGTGCTCAGTAAGTTTTGTTTTTCTCCTCACTCGTCCCTCCCACCCCCAAATTAAAGCTCACCTTTCCTCTTCCCAGCTTCTCAGAGCTCTGCTTGTGTGTAGCTAACAAAAAACAATGAAGATGGGGATAAAAAAAGAAGGGCAGAATGTGAGATTCTGTCCAGATGTTTTCATTGTAGCTCCCTAGCCCTAATGAATGAGTAAATGAATCACTATCCCCCATTCTCCTGAAAGGTACATAGAAGAAATGATACAGAGAAACTTGAACACTCACAAGACTCAGTGACTGGAATTCCAAGGACCTTCCCACCGTTTCAAAAGCAACTACTTTGCTTTGACCTGTTGATGTTCTGAATTAGATTAAGTGAGAAGAGGCCTTGTAGGATAAGCACTGGAATGCAAACTGCAAGGTCGTCCATTCACACCCACCAGCAGCTCCTTGGAAACCCTATACAGGGTCGCTATGAGTCAAAACCGACTTAACGACACTTAACAACAACAATTATTTGAAAGTATAAAAGGACAACCCTGAAAAATAGAAGGTTGTTAGCGGGAGCTTCCTGGTCACCGCTAGAGAGTCCTTTAAGGCAAGAATCTTGCCGATACATCAACCTATCTTATTCTATATCAGAAGTTCTGAGTGTCCCGCTGTCCCAGAACCAGCAACGGTGACAGGAACCATTACTTTATGCAGCACTGGTATCCATTTACTGTGTGCAAGTCACTCACTACTGCATAGTTATTAAATGCCCTTGCAAATTTAAGCATTCCCACACACATATATACCCCAAATCCTCGTGTCTACAGCCAGTACTGCCATTAACATTGTTTCTCAAAAATATTATAGAACTGTCATTATGATAGAATGGCTTTTCTTCCTTTTCATTTAAAAATATCCCTGTCTGCTTACTTGTTCCAACCCCCTGCAGTGAACCAAGAAAACCTTGAGAAAGTTTATAGACACAGGTTGGACTCCCTAAGCAGAGAACTCAGTGGGGTGCTTTCTTTATGTAATGAGAACGCCCCAAATCCACAGTCTTAGAGGAATTCAGATATCTAAATTACTGATGCATTAAATTCTTTCAAGTAATACAGTAGTAAATAAAATTGCATTTAGCACAGCATCAATGGCTAGTTTCTAGGATTTTTCACAAATTGAAATGTGTCTTTATAATCAAATTCTTTTGATTTTCCCTTGTATTGTTTCAGCTTTGCACAAATAAATTAAGATTTAAGGCTTGTAAGTAATTTAATAAACACTTAATGCAGAATGCTTATCATTAGACGAAATGTTTGCCATTATAAACCAGGCCCCTGTATTAAGAAAGAACAGTAGACAGAAATATTGTTTTCATTTCCTGAAATGTATAAAGCAGAGCAGTCTATGGGTGAAAGTAATGCTAAGTCTAGTTACACTGAAAGGAATGAAGGGGAAAGGGAAGGACGAAGGGAAGAAAGGAAGGAGAAAACTATTACCCATTTAGATCCCAATTCTAAATCAGCACTTTTGTTTACAATATTTTCAAATCCCCCACTGAGGGGTTCAGCAGAGGATAATTGCCATGGTAGAGTCACTAAATCAATTTAAGTCACATTAATGATCTGTAAACTTTAAAACTGTTGGCTTTAGCAATTCTGTAACATTCTTGATTTCAAATGAGTACATTTGTAATCATGCAAACTACAGTCTTGATGTGAAGGCAAAAGGAGATGGAGAACAGTCGTGGTCACACTACATTATTATCCAATTGTGCTTAATGGAGAGATCATAGTGAATGGGAAAGATAAGAATTCTCGTTTCAGCTTAAATCAATGTTTTACTTTGCTTTAAAAATTTACTAAAGTGCTTCCCTTAATATTAGAGTTATGCAACATTATTATTTACTAAAGTCAGTGAAAAGAAGCTATAAAAATGGCGTGAGGGCATCATCTAACCTTCTCTAACTTCACAAGGAGAAGCTCCATGAGCATCAGCCCAGTGCCAACTTCTATGAGCCACAGGTCAGGCATGGATCTAGCCTTCAACTTGTTTGACCAGTGCTGACATCAAGTGGCCCTCCCATGGTACTCTTTATTTTTCTGCTGAGTTAGACACTCTGTTGATATAGCCACACAGAACTCACAGACAATACTCACATGTATGGTGGTTATTATAGGGAAATAAGTGGTTTCAATTCAGAATTAGAAATACTCAGGATATAATTCTATGATCAGGACATCCTCTTCTCAGCAGCGCCCACACCCTCAGCCTCTCTTGGACCCTTGGTCTCTGACATGTTTGAGCAAATGTTACAAACTCTTTTAGATCTGACAATAAATGCCCAAAAGTACTCAACTTCACCAGCATGCCTCAGCTTAAAGGTACACTGCTCTAGTTCCCAGGTTGACAAAACTAGCTCCCCAGGATCAAGTACCTGGAGGCATTCATTCTGCAAGCAAGCCTCCTGCCTGAAAGTACTCAGATTTCTTGTTCTTTGGGGCCAGAAGCCCATTGTCTGCCTTCTTCCAGTCTCCTATTCCTGTTGGCTTCCCTGCCACAGCTTCTCACTATATAGCTCTGGTATCACAGTTCTCTGTCTCCTGAATTGAGGAGATTCAGTGCAGAGGTGTCACATCCAAAGAACATTCTCCGCTACTAGCTGTCTTCCCTTAGAGTAGTGACATCATCCCTTTCTGCCTCGTAGAGGTCTCATTTCAGACCTAAAACTGACAGTTTGAGTCGATTCTGACTCATAGTGACCCTGAATAGGGTTTCTGAGGCTGTGAATCTTTATTGGAGCAGAAAGCCTCATCTTTTTCTTGTGGAGTAGCTGGTGAATTTGAACTGCTGACCTTGAAATTAACAGCCCCATGTGTAATCCACTATACCACCAGGACTCCTGTATTTTAAAACTAGCGGGATGGGGAAAAGTGACCAATCCCATTAGAGTTCCATGTATCTTATTTGCATGGTCCTGGTTCTGGTGTGGCACTATAGGATAAGTACTGAACTGCTAACTGCAAGGTGAGCAGTTCAAGCCCACTAGCTACTCCTTAGAAACATTATGCAAAGTTGCTGTGAATTGAAACTGACTCAATAATACACACCCACCACCACCACCACCTGTTAAGTGTAATAGAAATTCAAATGAAATAATATATATAAAGGCCTTAGTAAAATCCCTGTCATACATGTGATGATTGTGGTTATTATGTCACAAGTAGCTTTGATGTATAAATAGAAGTAATCTGAAATGTAGGTATATTTTATATCATGAAAAGTATATATTCCATGAACCCTCATTTTATGGATTTATGATAAATCTGAAATTGATTTCCAAAGTAGGGCAATGATGGCTTCAGAGACAAATGCCACTCAGTGGCAGAGCAGGTGGTATAGTATCCAGTCCTGTTGATTCTGTCCATTGATTCTAACATGAGAC